AAAAAAAAAAAAACAGCTTGAATAGTGCCTGAGGAACAATACTGGAAGTTGTCTTGTGGCCTTCTTAGACATGTGCACCTGCGCATTATTAAACCTTGTGAAGACTGTGGTAAGAGTTGTCTTCTGTGTAGTAATTTAAATTTATAAAGCTTGACAATTAAAAATTGCCATTTACAGGCTGTAAGAAGGCTCTAACTGTTTAGTTGTCTCTTCTTGGAGAATTGAGATTTTTATAGCCCAACCTTTTAGCGGGGACAGTCCTAAAAAGATGTACTGAAGAATTAATAGTTGTGTGTGTTGGGGAGGATAACAGTGAAAAGTACAAGAAAAGTGGTTTACATGAAACTAGAAAGTCTTCGGTGGTTTTAGAATGATCCTGACTGTAAGAGCTTTTCGTTGTGGTTATGGAACACTTAACACCCCCAGTGGTAGGAGATAGAACTGCAAGAAGCCATTTGGTTGTCAAGGTTTTTATACTAATTGCTGCTGCTGCGTCAGCTGTATAGCACCCCAAGTGTTTTCTACCATTTAGACATTAGAATTGAAGTGAAGCTAGGCAGTAGTGGCACATTCCTTTAATCCCAGTGTCCAGGGGGCAGAGGCAGGCGGATCACTGTAAGTTCGAGGCCAGCCTGGTTTACAAAGTGAGTTCCAGGACAGCAAGGCTGTTACACAGAGAAACACTATCTGGAAAAAAAACAAAACAAAAAAAACCTATGGCGTTCAGGTTGTCACTTTGTAAACATATTCTTTGTTGTGGTGGTGGTGGTTCTCCTTACTTTGCTTTTGAGACCAGGTCTCACTCTCCAGCTTTGGCTGGCCTAGTACTCACTATGTAGCTCAGGCTAACCTCAGGTTTGCTGTAGTTCTCATCCCACAGCCTCCCAAGTGCTGGTAATTCCTGGTGTGAGTCACCATGCCTAGCTCTTTTGGAGTTCTTTGATATAAACAGTATTCACATAAGGGTGGCTAGGAGATGAATAGTCAGTAAAGTGCTTGTGTTGCAAGTTGCTAAAATTTGGATTCCAGTCCATGTGTATAAACATGGAGATAGTAGAGACAAAGGGATCACTGAGGCTTGCTGGCTTACCAGCCAGTCTGAGAACTCTGGGGTTGTTGAGAGACATTGTCTCTATAAATAAGGTAGAAAGCCAGAGAAGACACCTGAGGTTGAACTTTAGTAATCCACATACCAGTTCAAACACATACAAAGTTCAGTCATACACAAACATATCTATGAGCATAGATACACACAATGGAAATAAAAACTTAGATCATTAGAGCTGAGCTTGTAGCTTTGTGACAGAGCATTTGAGAGTTCATGGATTCTAAACCCACTACTACAAAAAACAATAAGAAAACCATAAACAAATTTCAGTTTATTAGTAAAACATCATTTACCATTTTTATTTAGAAAGTATGGTTATTTGGTCGGGAAGCTCACTTAGCCAGGTAGGTTCTGAACGTGGAGTAGATCTCTCCTCCTTCCTTTAATGTATCCCAGAACTCAAGCTACCAGCTTCCAGGGCAAATGCTCTACCCACTGAGCCAGCTAACTGTCCACAGTTCATCTTCTTATAGACACAACAAACATGTTTTTAATAATAGAAATTAAATTTTAAAAAGTTCCACACTTTGAACTGAATTTAGCTCAGTGTTTTAAAAAGAAGTTGGCTCTTTGAGGGAACACAGTTTGGCTACTGCTACTTGCCCTTAAAAAATTTTTGATCATTACAAATTGTTACTTATTCTGTTATTTTTATGATTTATGATTTATTTTATGTGCATTGTGTTTTGCATGTGTGTCTGTGTGAGGGACTCAGATACCCTGGAACTGGAGTTACAAACGGGTGTGTACAGACTATACCAGGACCTCTGGAAGAGCAGCCAGTGCTCTTAACCACTGAGCCATCTCTCCAGCTCCTCTAAGTGATACTTTTTATGGTAGGATCAGTCATTGGCTAGAAATGAAGAAGTAAGGGATTTTTAAAAAATGGTACCACCCCTTCTTGTATATGTTCTTTGGTGTCTTTTTCCCACTGTGATTTTTCCTTGGGTGATTTTTCTTGGTTGTGTAGTCACTTTAATAATGTTAGGAAATTACTGCTTCACGTAGGCAGTGATTTCATCTTCAGATTGTTTTGTAGTTTGGATCTTTTTCATGAGTTAACTCTGGAGAAATTATAAATGAGGTTCTTTTGAGGCTGTTGTTTTCTGGAATTCTTTTTCAAAGGTTGGTATAGTCATGTGTGAAGGACAGATGTTGGTGATGAAGTCTTTTAACAGGAAGCAAAGATCTGAGCAGAGCTACTTAGAGTTTTAACTCATTCTTAACAGAGTTCAGTTCTAGACTTCTGTTAACTATTTTGAAGTGGTCTTGAAGCCCCGTCAGCCAGGCTACTTATAGTTCTTTTGTGAAAAAATTACCTGGTCAGTGTCTGGTTGATCCCATCCATTCTTTACTGTAACTTATTTAAGGAGTCCCATCTTGCACCCTGAATACTGATTTGCCAGAATGAATAAGTTAAATGAAAGATTAGAAGCTAGAGTTAGTTTTCTCCCTTTAAACAGATTGACATCCCAGCCCATCCCCCCCCCCTGTGTTATTGAAGAGGAGATTGTTCACGTTCTCAAGTCGCAGTAAAAAAATCTCACACCCCATCCTGACCAGTACAAAAACAGCTGCTGCAGCACAAAATGTCTTCCCTCTGTCCTCACTGAAGTCGGGGGAGGGACAAAACCCAACCAGTACTTTACCCCATCCTGTCTGCCTTAGAAGGCCTGTTTCCTGCCCTCATGGTTTCTGCCTAACAGACGGTGTTTCTTTTTTACAGCGTTATGATCCTGGACTTGTTGTGGTGATGGTAAACTTAGCAGTGGTAATTTTTATTTTCAGACTGAATTATTCCTTTGTCATCAGTGCACCAATATGTTAGGCTTACTCTCTGTCGTAGCCTCATCCTTCTGCTTGGTCTTTTCATTTTCCTTTCCTTTCCTTATGCAACTTGTCTGATCCTTGTTCATTGAAGGGTAATGTTAAGAAGGGATGTATCTATGTTAGAACTGCCAAAAAGAATCAGTTAGAATGTTAAATTCTAATACTGTCAAAAAACTTGATTTCCCCACCCCAGTGTAATGGGCACTAGCACTTGCTACTGCAATTTATAAATAAGTTAAAACAAACTTTGACTGCCTTAGAAGGCAAAAGTACTAATGCAGAATTTATAAACAGGGGTTTACAGAGGTAATCAATCTGTACCAAAACGTTGTTTATTCTTCCAAAATAAATTCTGACCAATCAAAAAATATTCTAAAATAAATTTCTTTGATGTTTCTTTTCAATTGTTTCATTGGACTATTTGTTTTTACCGGTAAATCCCTGATTGAGACGTTATGAAAGTGATATTGCACCTAGGAAGTCATTTTTATAACCTGTCTTTACCTTGGTCCTTTTGCTAAAGATTGCAGTCACTGCTTATTTATTATACCATTGGGCAGAAGGAGCACTGTGCTTTCATCATATTTGACTGGCAGTCTGGGAAAGATCTAATAGAAGACTGTGCTCTAGAAAGTTTTTGTTATTACTTGGGTGGGGTTTTTGTTTTGTTTTTAACTATGAAGATAATTGCTTGTTTTCTGTTTATTAAAAACAATAATGGGATCTTGTTGATAAGCAGTTAAACTTCTGAGTGTCAATAATAGAATATTGTTGACAAGTAGTTAAGCTTCTGGGTTTGTTTTTCAGTATGATTTAAAGATGAAAAATACTAATTCCATAAATATATAGACCAGACGCAAGTGTTGCTGGTTATTTTGTTTTTTCTTTGGGATCCTAACAAACCAATTAGTCTAAAATTTTTTTCTTTGATAATATCTAAGATTTAGCCTGACAAAACTTGAATTTCTTGCCCAAAGGTATAATATATGTATATGTGTGTGTGTGTGCGCGCGCGCGTGTATAACAACAAAAATAAAATTTAAAAAAAAACAATTGTTTACACCAGACTGAGTGAAATGATGAGGGAAGTAAACATTGTGTTTTTTCACTAAAGGTGTACCTGGGTAAGGTAAGTCCTTTTCAGTTACATCACAATGAAAGCGCAAATTGTGATGTAAAACAGCTGTGGTAGTAAAGTGCTTGTCTGCCCCATTTGCTTTGTTTGGCTGGTTATGAGTGGATTAAATATATATTTTCAAAAAATCTCCAGCATAGATCAATTAGTCGAAAGTCAATTTTCTTCGCAACTAGTCCTTTTCACAGCTTACCAATAACCATCCCTAGCCAGTGGTAAATTCACTCTACAGAATGCGACCTCAGGCACCAGTTTTAAAATAAAACCAATCTTGTCCCTAAGGGCAAGTAGCTGTTTTTATTTAAATTTTCATTGGATTAGAAAAGATCTTTTGAAAAATATTTTTTATAAACATACTGAGTTATAATTGTATTGGTTTCCTTTGTTTTCAATGTTCTCTTTTCCCCCCCCATTCAAGCATTTAAGATGTTCATCACCAGTTTTAAGGGATGACAAGGAGATGTTGGCACAAATTTGTTCTCATTGCTACTTGGGATCCTTTAAGAGCTTGTGCTGGGCTAGGTGTCAGTAATCCCTGTATTTGGGAGCTTCAAGGTCATCCTCACTTATATAGTGAGTTTGAGGCCAACCTGGGCTACAGTCTTATAAAAACAAACAGAAAAAGAAACTTCTAAAGTTTTTGTGATAAACTTGCTGGTGCCATTGACATTTCCCCCATTCATTTGCTTAGTTTTGCCATAGTTACCTGGAGTTCTCTCCAGCTAGGAGGTCAACTAAAAATGGTTGGTTGGGATTAATCCAAGAAAGGATGGATTGGATGTAAGCTGTGAGAATGGCTTTTGTTTGGTTCACTGTAGCTTTCTGGTCTCTGCACTCCAAGGCAAGATCTAACCACCCAAACCTAATGTTTAAAGTGAGCTGTTGGCCTAATTATACGCCTCAACTTGATTCTGTGTTCCTTTACAGGGAGAACAGACCCTATTCCAATCGTTGTCAAGTATGATGTCATGGGCATGGGTCGCATGGAAATGGAGGTAAAGTGGTCTCATTAAGCAAATTTAATTTTATGGGATATATAAAATCGGCTTTCATTTCAAACTCATATCAGTGTAAGCATATATTTATCAGGTGAACATAATTTTAATTTTTCTTTGATTAACTAGAAATATATTTTATATTTTCATTTTGTGCTATTTTTGAAGCACAGAAGATGTAAATACTGCCCCCTGTTTTAACTGAGGTGTAAACAATGTGTTTTCTTAGTATCATACAGAAAGACCAGGTCAGACTCTGGACTTGTTTTAATAGACAGTGTTGCTTTGTGCTTAAAACACATGTGTGGTAGAAGCTCTGCCCATGTAGAGTTGGTTACAGCTATTGTCCGCGATACCATCTTATTATCTGAAATATGGGTGGTGAATATTCAACTGAAGTCTTGTTATCAATAGTTGGGTCTGTTAGACCTGTCAGGAAAGAGGTTAAGGACTGAGAAAACATAAGTTTCTTGCTTTCCAACACAGCATTACGCTTATGTAAATGATATTTTTGTAGCTAATTCTGGGGTACTTTAGGAAAAAGAATAAATATATCTATTTTTGTCAAGTTGGATTATGCCGAAGATGCTACCGAACGGCGTCGTGTCCTAGAAGTAGAAAAAGAAGACACAGAAGAGCTGAGACAAAAGTACAAGGTACCTTGAGCAAAGTTATTGTTGTCTGAGAATGTCCACACAGAGAAGAGGTGTTTGTTTTTGGTGAAAAGGGTTCCTTGAGTAATAGCATTTGTCTACATTTGCTGGTGATTGCGTTAATCTCAGTTTGCAGTTACTTTTTATTTTCTCCTGCAGTAAAATCTGTGTTGGAAAATTGTGTTGTGTTTGAAAATACTAGTCCCAGGTAGGAAATACAAAGAAGTCAAATAGTAGCAGCAAAACAGACAAAACAACAAAAGAGGGGGTAGGAATCCTTGGAGGCTTTCCTTTTTAAAAAGGAAAAGGATGAGAGTATTTTTGTGGAGCAGGCATTCATTTTATATAATGCCACAGTGTGCGTAAAATCTAAAGAACAACTTCCCAGGGTTGGTTCTTTCCACCCAGAGATCAGACTCGGACTCTGTCTTGGCAACAGGTGTCCTTCCCTGCTGAGCCATCTCACCAATCCTGAATGAGGTATTTTATTGTAATTTAAGAATTTTCTTTTTCATTGGTAATTACACTCAGCCCTGAAGCACAGGTTTATCTCTTATTTCTCCATGTGGGCATGAAGTTGGATTCTTTTTGGTTTTTGGGACAGGGTTTTTCTGTGTGACAGCACTGACTATCCTGGAACTTGCTTTGTAAACCAGGCTGGCCTTGAACTCATACAGATCCTCCTGCCTCTGCTTCCCGAATGCTGGGATCACATGTATGCCTGATGTCCTCAAAGTTCAGAAAAAGGCTTCAAATACCCTGGAACTGAAATTACAAATGACTAGGAGCCACCATGTTGGGATCTGGGAACAAAGCCTTGATTCTCTTTAAGAGCAACCAGTGCTTTAAAATATTGAGCCATCTCTCTAGTCCACAGTAGTTTCTTTTTATAAGGGACTGTTCATAACAAACTGTAGTTTAGAACAAGCATATAAACGTTCAGGAAACTTTCCTTTCAGGGTATTATAGTATGTCCAGTCTCTGTCATAAAATGGGCAAATTAGAAGATAAAAATAGATCTTATTAAGGTTATCATGCAGAAATGATGTTTTTGTTGTACTTAAGCTGAAAATGGGAAAGGGGGATTAAAACAAATATGTTCTGCCATTTAAAGGGAAAGTAAAGCCATAGCCTGCCTACTCAAGGATCTATTGAAGATCTTTCAAAGTCTCACTGCTTTGAAGTGCCTATAAATTTAGCCTAGGTATCTAGACTTTTCATTAGTATGGAAAAGAGAAAGGGGTGATATACTAGTCAGAGTCTTTGTCAGTCTTGGAAACCAAAGATCTATTATTTTCTTCCATTGTTAAGATAGATAACAGATGAGAAAAATTAAATAAAATAGACTTAAAGATGAAAAAACAACAAAGATTGAGGTGATAACATACCTATAAGGACTCCTGAAATCCAGGCTATTCAGACATAGTGGTGCCTGCCTGTCTTCCTAGCATTTAAGAGGCAGAGCAAGGTACTAGACATGACAGCACACACTTGTATTCCCAAGCACTTGGCGGGGGAAGGCCACAGGTTCTAGTACAGCACTTAGGGTCACACAATGAGACTGTCTCAGTAAAGAAAAAAGGTATTTAGGAGATGGTTCACTATGTAAAGCACTTACTACAAAAATTGGATGAACTGAGGTCATCTTACAAAATGCCAGATGTAGCAGTGCGTGTCTGATTTCAGTGCTCAGGTGGAGAAATAGGGGCAGTGACAAGATGATCCCTGGAAGCTTGTGGACCTTATAGACTGGTGACAAAAGAGAGGCCTGCCCCAAACAAGGTAGAAGGTGAGCCTAGGTACCCAAGGTTGTCCTGACCTTCTTACACTCAGCATACCTAAGCATGCTCCACATTACACAAACAAAACAAATACTTTTAATATTGTTTTTAATGTCTAGAGAAAGAGCTCAGTGCTTAAGAGCACCCAGACGACCTGGGTTCAATCCCCAGCACCCACATGGCATCTCATAACTATCTGTAACTCTAGGGGATCGAATGCTCTCTTTTGGCTTCCACAGGCACTTCATGTAGGTGAAGCCTCAAGACATTCAAATAAGCACTCATACATATGAAATTGAAAAAAATGAAACTTTTAAAAAATAAAATGGAAAATTTGAAGATTTCTTGCTGGTGTTTTGAGATTTGAGTGCTTTCTAAGCTCACTTTTATTTTATTTTCTTATTTTTTTTTAATTTGCCTATTTATTTATTTGGTGGTGGTGGTTGTTTCAAGACATGGTTTCTCTGTCTAACTCCAGCTGTCCTGGAACTCAACTCTGTAAACCAGGCTGGCCTCACACTCAGAGATCCGCCGGCCTCTGCCTCCTGAGTGCCAGGACTAAAGGCATGTGCTGCTGCTGCCACTTAGCCCACACCCAGCTTTTAAACTATTTTTTTTCTTGAGTTCTGGGAATAATCATGTCAGGTTTCCTCTCTTTATGATAAATTACACTGATTAATTTTTTTTTAATGTTAAACCTTGAGTCCTTTGGATAGATCTTACTTCTCTTGCTGAGTAATCCTGTTTAGTATATGCTCTATTCCAGTTACTGGTTTAAAAGTAAAATATAGTGACATAATGGGGCTGGGGAGATGGCTTAACAGTTAAGGACTCCCGCTAGTCTCAAAGAGGACCTGGATTCAATTCCCAGTACCTACATGGCAACTCACAACTGCCTCTAACTCCATTTCCAGGGGATCTGAGCTCCCTCTCTAGGCCCTGACCAGCTTAGCACTCACTATGTACTAAGGATAGCTTTGAACTCAAGGAAGTCTTGTCAGCCTACGGTGTGTTATGGGCATGTACCAACACTGTGCCTGGTTAAAATTGTGCCTTATATTGAATCCAGTTGGTTTTTGGTTAAGGACAAAATAGAGAATGGTTTTGTCTACCATATTGCCAAAAATGAAATAAAATTACACTATCTTGAACACTTGTTAATACATATATAAAGTGTTACCCTACCAAATTGCCCCTTGTGTTTTATCCTGCATTTATCAGTGCCATTGAATTTTACGGAAAGTTATTTTTTCTTTCTGTTTGAGTAATAGCTGTCTAAATCCTATGGAGTTTATGTCTTGTTTGTATTTTGTGATTCTTAACAGGATTACGTTGACAAAGAAAAGGCAATCGCCAAAGCCTTAGAAGATCTTAGAGCCAACTTTTACTGTGAACTCTGTGATAAACAGTATCAGAAACACCAGGAATTTGACAACCACATTAACTCTTATGATCATGCACACAAGCAGGTAAGGAATAACTACTTGGTGTCAAGGAAAAAGATTCTTGTTATAACCGTTGATGTTTATGAGTGTGATAGGTTTCTTGTGTCAACCAGTTTGTACTTTTGGCTACCTGATACACTAGCTCCCATTTACCATGGGAGCTGTTCCAACATAGATACCCTCTTCTCCCTGCCACTCCATCACCATTTTAAGTAAAATAATAAATTGTGAGTTTCTTAAACCTTAGGTAATGCTTGTGATTTTGATTTAATTTTTAATTTTTTGTTTTTAATGTGGCGATTGAGCCGAGGACCAATGAGAGAGCTTTATGTCAGTTTTTCTCCTTCTCTCAACATTTTAGACTTGTGGTCTTCTGAACCTGTGAGTGTAAGAGTTATGGCTACTATTTCCTGTCAGCAAGTCATCTTGTTATTCCATATTCCTTGGAAAATGACTGAATCCTGATGACAATCAAAGTAGATATGCTGTGTCTTAGTAACAACAAACCCTTCTTGTCTCAATTAGAGTTTCTGTGTGGGGAAACGCCATGACCAAAAGCAGCTTGGGGAGGAAAGGGCTTATTTTCTAGGTCACAATTCATCACTGAAGGAAGTACGAGCAGGTACCTGGAGGTAGGAACTGATTCAGAGGCCGTGGAAAAGTGCTGATTGCTGGCTTGTTTCTCGTGGCTTACCCAGTTTGCTTTCTTATAATACCCAGGACCACCTTCTTGGACTCTTGGTAGTTACTTCACTTAAATTGCTTTCAGACAAGCAAGGTCTTGCTGAATGGTTCAGGAACTCCCTATGTAGACCAAGCTGATCTTGAGCTTGGGATGGGCCCTTCTGCCTACCCCACATATACCCACCCAGTGTTAGGATTGCTGGGCTGTCCCCAGTTCTCAAAGTTGCTTTTTAAGAGGAAAGTTTTTTTATACAAAATATTTAGGAGAAGTGCTGAACCAATAAAATTCATATTGACATTAATACCTCAGTGACATAGCTGCCAACTTAAGTGTAGTAGAAATTGTTATAGCGTTCATTCTTAGATTTTGACATTCTCATTCATTCTCCTGTATACTTTATGTTGACTGATCTGCTTCACCATTCTTATCAGTTACAGGAGTTAGCAGCTTGGAAATAACTCCCCAAGGGGCACTTGAAAGTTGTTGTCTAGATATACTTCAGGCTGCCTTAACTAGGAGGTGATACTTTTGGGATCAAGTTGAATGGGATTCAAAGATATTGTTGAATATCCTATAATACACAACACCCCAAAATAAAGACTCAGAAGTGTGATCACTGGTGCTGAGGTTAACTATTGGAAACTTTCAAATATATGAGCTATTTCACTCTTGCTTAGCACAAATTATAATCATTTTACATCTCTGGTTATCATAAACATTTATAAAGAGCTCATCTAGATCCAAAATGTATACTTAAATTGTTTTCAGATGACCAAAATAAAATATAAAATTAAGAATTTGGGGATCTGAAGAGATAGTTCAGATCGTAAAGCACTTGCTGTGAAAGCGTGAGAACTGGGTTGATCTCTTAGAGCCATGGAGAAGTCAGATAGGTGGAGTGGCACGGGTGTAATCCCAGGAGACAGGACTAGCCAAAATGGTGAGAGACCCTGCCTCAATATGTAAGGCGGGAAGTGATTAGGGAAGACACCCTCTATCATGCACATATACCTTAGACACATAATACTCCACCCCAGTTTTTTTATCCTGAGAATTGGCAGATTGTTCAGTGAGTAATGCGCTTGTAGCACAAGCATGATACTGTGGATTCTGATTGGCAGCCTGCACTGTTAGTTGTTGTGGTGAAGAGGCAGACAGAATTATCCCAGGATTTCCAACCAGCCTCACTTATTAGCAGTTTTAATGAGAGATCGAGTCTCAAAAAATAAGGTAGGAGGTGATAAAGACAACTTATACCAACCTAGTATCCATATGTGCATACATATACATGCATGCATAATATATATATTATGTATATACATATATAATACATATAATTATGAATTTCTTGCAGAAAATTGATGAATACTGTTCACTAATACATGTTTGAGAGCCCTGGTTTGGAAAGGTCTTTAGCTGTATGATTCACAAAAGCATGTCAGTTCATTCTTTCACCTGAGTTAGAAGTGCACTTTACATATTAAAAGAACCTTAAGCATAAGCCATAGGCCTGAGACCTGAGTTTTTAGGAGGTGGAAGCAGGAAGATTTTGAATTTAAAGCCAGCCTGGGCTACATAGAAAGATGTTTCTGTCTCTAAATACAAAAGAACAGTAGTATGTATGACTTTTGAGTTTTTTGTTAGAATGTTACTCGCTTTGTTGAAAAGTAGACCATGTCATCTTTTTTCGTATTCTTGTCTTTCTACAAATTGTAGAATCTCAAAACAGCACAAAAGAAGTCTTAAATTTTTACTTTACAACTGCAACTGTTCTCTACTCAAATTCCTTCTTTCCTGTCTCTTTTCTCTTTTCGAGAGAGGGTGTTAATTGTAAAACAATGCTGGCCTTGAACTTGTGATCCTCCTGATTCTGCCTCTAGCCTGCTGTGGTTAAAGGCTTATCTCGCCTTCCTGACCAGTATTTAAAATTTGTAAAGAACTATTTGTTGACTTTGGTACAGCATGGGTAACTAATATCGATAGGAGATAGGATCATGTGTTTGAGTCCTCCTCAGTGGGCCTGCCACTTTTCCAAATTGGTGCTCTAAAATTATAAAGGCCCCTGTGCTGCCTTCTAGCAAGACACAGGATTATTATGACGGAGCTCAAAGGTAAGTACTCTACTCCATGTTAGTTATTCCTAGCTTACATCTCCCATCAAATTGTTATCATTAAAACTTTGGAGAAAGGCTTTATTAGTGATAAACTAAAATAGGCAGGTCCTGGGAAGTACTTTTAAGGTCCAATTTCTAAAAAATTAAGCAACATGGTTACTTACCTTTGTGATTTTTTTTTTTTTGAGAGTGGGAGAAGAAGGTGTTAAATGCCTCTATTTGCTAGCTCTTCTCAAATTTTCTAAGATTTTGTGATGTAATTAATACAGAAATATTGAGACGATGCTTAAGATTTCTAAATGTAAAGTTAGGCATTGCGATTCTAATTCTTGTGCTCTGTTTTATTACCTTTGAAATCTCCAGTGTTGAAGCCAGCCATCCTTGAAGAAATAACCCAGTGTATGAGTACTTACTGAGTTCTGACATGCCTGAGTGCTCAGTAAACATTAACACTGATTGTAGTTGTAGGCTACAGTTAAATTCAAAACGAAAGGTTTTTCCAGCCCCATTTCCCTGCCCTTTTAATTATCTTATGTATCTTTAAAAAATGTTTGTCTGCTGATAGATAGATGTAACCTCAAATTCAGACCACAGGGGATCTTCTTCCCAGAGTGAGTCTGTAGCAGTGCCTTACTAGTGATCGCTTGGGTGGAGGGGTAGCCCAGCGCAAGTGTTGTGTTCAGAGCCCTGTTTGCTCTTCAGTACTGCAAACAAACAAAAAAGTAGAGTCTCTTACTTTAACACTTTTTTCTTTAATCTACTTGGAATGTCTGCATCTTACCTTCTATTTGTGTCACTAGGGCACCTTATAATACAGTGAGAGGGAGATTATCTCAGGTCTGTTTGGCTTAGTCTTCATGGTGTTAGTTTTTTCTCAACTGAAAAAAATTTAAGCCATGTCCAGTGGCATATACCTAGTTATTAAGGCAGAAACTTTGGGCCAGCAGCATGGCAATAGACCTCTTTTGTGTTTCTGTTTGGTTCATTGATACTGGTTTGTTCTGTTGTTGCTGTTGTTGTTTAATTAGACACTTCTGCCTGTGTAGTTGAACTTCTGAACCCTCTGCTGGGATTACATATATGAACTCACCATGCTTTAAGGCTCACCTCTTAAACAAAACAAAACACCTAGAACTGCTCACTAAGTCAACCTTTGATTTATCTTGGGCTATCTATGACATTGGGTTTATATTTCAATAAACCTTGATTACAGCTAAGTAGCTGGTGTCTCTCACTCACTCTCCAAAACTGTGGGCTCCATATTTGTGAGTCATAAGTTACTTGCCAGATTCCTTTACACACTTAGGTTGTGACTCAGCCCTACTCGCTTCCTTCCTGTGTTCCAGAGTTCTGACTGACACTGGGCACACTGAAACAGCCTCCACACCTCCAGGGTTGGGACCAACTTCCTTACCATTTCAGTGGGCAATAGCTGGATCTTCCATGATTTGTCTTTCTAAGTCAATTTCCAATATTCCCTTCATTTTCCTCTCAGATAAAAGGGTGTTTCCAGCATGCTTCTTTCTCTAAAATAACCTGAGTGTGAAAACACCTGCGCTTGTGCATGCTCTGAGAACCTGGGCCATTAGTCTGGTTCTATTCAGCTGTGGATAAAATAGCAGTTTCCTGAACTTTGAAATAGCATGCCCATCACAGCCAGCAGTGATTTCACTAATCTGAATACGTGGAGTAGAGGCTCCTTCTAATACATAGTTTCCCTAACCCTCTCTACTCTCTGCCTGGATTTGTGACAGCATTACCTACCTGTAGTTGATTGTTTCCATACTTAGTATTGCCAAAGAGCCAAAAGGTTTTCACCCAGTGCTCAGAGATGAATTGGCCTCTGAATTAAAGTGTGTTCTGAGAAATTCCTTGGTGGTAGAAGAATGATTATCTCTTTGGACTTTATAAAAATTTCATTTAAGTTTGGAGTGGCTGCTTTGCTCTTGAGGCATCACTGTTTACTGATTGTTTGGGGGTTTTGTTTCTTTGACTCAAACTTGTTTGTCAGTTTGTCGTTTAATTCTCTATAGTGGGGATGGGGGAGGTGGCCAGAACAAACTCATCAAAACCAGTTGGATGAGGGAAGATAATCCTAGGGCTAAAAGTAAATGAAAATAGCACATTGTCTAGATTCTACACTGTAAATATGTTCTGTGTCTGTTTTATGTTTATAGTGTTTGCCCTAGAAAACCATGAAGTGATTGGTGGTAGAAATGGAAAAC